GAATGAAAATCCAACTCTTCTGTAAACTTTTGTTAAAATCACAACTAAAATTTTTCAAAACCCTTCTTAAAAATATACAGAATCACAAACCGGTGAAAGCAAAATTATTTTTGTGCCATTCATTAGTCATTGTTACTTTATCTTTTTCATTTCCACTTTTGTGTGGTTTACATTACAGAGTGGCCAAGGTGGTTTAAGGAGTTGAGCTGCCATCGCAAAGCAGGCCATGGGAATCCACCAGCCATGCCTTGGTATGATGTACAGCCTCTGAACACCAGCTGGAGGGCCAGCTATGCTTCTGTTCTGACTCCATCATATAATAACTGTGAATAAATAAAGTAATACATGCAGGTGTCGTTTACAAAGAAAAACGTATTAACATGAACTAATTCCAGCAAAACCTACAACTCTTACAAGATACTGTCAACAGTGTCTAACCAACTTTGCCCTTTTAGGATGCAAGCTCCAGAACTACCTTTCTTTTGGCAACATTAACAGACCACTTTGAGAACCACAGGGAGCCTGTGTGGGCTTAACATAGAAGCCACTGAGTCAGTACTGGATGCAAATTCAGTTACTCCACTGTATGAGGAAGCCAAGTCCATAAAGCCTGGCCTGATGCATTTCACAGCTCTCTGAGAGGCTTGTATAAGAGGACTTGGCACACCTCATTCACACAGGGGAGGGGGCCTATTAACCGAGAACATCTAACAGTCGCTGTTAGAGACCCTAGTCTTTATCCACTTAGGACTTGTTAAGCCAAATGACCCTGGAAAGTGGTCATTCAGATCGTGGAGTGAAGTGATCTATCCAGTGGCATCAGAATGATAACCCAGAAGGGCCTTCCCTCTCAAATTATAATGAGATGAGGGGCCTCAAGAGTCACGAGCCGCTGGGGAAATGTGGAAATATAAGGGCCTGGCTGGGCAGTCTCCGCTGGTGGAGACAGGAGAGACAGTTCCCTGCATCTTCAGAGCTCGACTTCAGACTTTTTCATCTACTTGCCCAAACCTGACAACATCTTTCATCCACCTCGCGTGCTTTATCCACCTCCGCCCCGGGCGGCACGTTAGCCAGATTCAGGTACCCACAGGATACCTCCTGCACTGCGACCTCCTGGGTGAAGGGCGCTCCAGGTGGCCAAGGGTTTCTGGAACGCATTGTCCCAGAGAGCCAAATCTCATCGGGGTCACTAACATGTGCTGGGTGGAAGCCTGGCTCCACGCCGGGAGTCGCTGGCATGCCCCTAGTCGCCCAAAGACCCCAACAACGCAAGGGGAAGGTGTGCACGGGTCACCGAGGATCTCCAGCATGCACACCAGCCCTGCTCCAGTCCTGGCCCCTCTCTCTCCCGCGATCTTACCTGGATGGTGTGGCCGCGCCCAGGGGCGTTGGGCCCTCCAACCAATTTGCAGTAGAGCTCAGGCCGCCCCCCGCCAGGCTCCCGCTCCCCACAGGTGGCGGTGGCCCAAATCCGCGCCGCTGCGGCCAGGTTGAAATAGGGCGGGTGCAGACTGAGCCCGACTGCGGGCTCGGGGTTCTGGGCGGCCACGCCGAAGTTGAGGGGCAGCCACAGCAGCAGCAGCAGGACGCAGTGAAGTGCGCAGCCCGGCGCGCGCGGGGCCGCCGCCATCCCGGGCCGCGTGGTGCGGCCGCCGCTAGGCGCTCTCCCTTCCCGGAGCGCGGTGCGCACAGCGAGCGCAGTCGGGTGTGGAAAGCCCAGAGCCGCGCCCCCGCTCCACGCGCCCGGCGCCTGCGGCCTGGGGGTGGCCGCGCCCGCTCGGGAAACCTGCCGCCGCAGGAGCTGGCACCGGTGGAGCAGGAACTGCCAAGCGCCAAGCCCCGGGCCAACAGACGTCGTCTCCAGAGCGCGCTGGAAACTTCTGCAGGGAAGGGGAAAGGCGTTCCCAGCTTCCACCCGGCGCCTGACGCGGGCCTGCACCACCAGGCTTCCCAAGGCCAGGGCACAACTCAGCTCTCTCTCCAAGGGCTCCTCACTTTAGTCCGAAAAGCCAGCTGTAGAGAATGAATTCGAGAAAAGGAAACCTGCAGCGATTTTGGGTCAAACAGCAGTAGAAACAGTGAAACTTGCAGAATTTCTACCAAAGGCATTGTGATTTCCTGCACCCATGTTTATCGGTTGGCTTTCAAACGCTGTGCACTCCTGTTCTCTAAGGCACTGCAGCCACGAACCCGGATAACGCGGGGCTTACGTGCCTGCACATTTGAAAGACACTTGATGGTACAAGTTGTGGTTTGTTAAACTGGAAAGGTTGTTGTTGCTAGGTGCCATCGAGTCAAATACGACTCAGAGCAACCCTGTAAACAGCAGATCTGAACCCTGTCATATCCTGTGCCATCTTCACACTTCCTGACACACTAGAGCCCATTGCAGCAGTCACCATGTCAGTCCATCTAGTTGAGGGTCTTCCTCTCCTCCGACCCTCCACCCTTCTAAGCCTCATGTCCCTCTCCCAGGAATAGCTCCTCCTAGCAACATGCTCCAGGTATGTAAGGTGAAGACTCATCGTCCTTGCCTCCAAAGAGCACTCGGCTGCACCTTCTCCAAGACGTATCTGTTTGTCTTCATGGTCGTCCATGGGATATTCAGTGCTCTTCTCCAACACAACAGCTCAAAGGCATCAATTTTTTTCTGTCATTCTTATTCGTTGTCCAGCTCTCAGATGCATAGCAAGTGATCAGAAAGACTATGACCTGAATCAGACACACCTTAGTCCAGTCCTCAAACCTTAGTCCTCATCACTCCTCAATAATTTGGAGAATTCCCTAACTGCAGATTTTCTCAGTGCAATATATCTCCTTATTTTCTAAATGCTGGTACCAAAAGTGTTAATTGTGGATCCAAGTAAGATGAATTGAAGTTGTTGACAGTTTCAATCTCTTCTTTATCCGTCAAACCCACCTTGTCTTTCCTTTAGGCCACTGAAAGCAATTCTAAGACATAAAATAAGTGTCCTGTTGTCTTACTATTACTTCTAAGAGTTTACAGTTGTTTGTGTGGTCTTAAGTCTGCAATGGAGTTATTTCTGAACTCCCAAGAGTCCTTGTTCTGGTTTTCTTTGATTTGGAAGTAGGGAATCCTAAATACTGTAAATAATCATTGTCACTAATTTCCTATTTCCTACATCTGTGATTATTTCTCTCTCATCACTCTATGTTCATTTTTCTTTCCAGAATAAAGGACTAAATATTGGTCATTATGGAATGCTTGAGTTGCTTTTTTATCTTAATGGGAATGCCTTCCATGAACATTTTGCAAATTATGTGTTATTTAGTGTTCCCTGAAAACATAAGAAAATATTTTTAAAGGTATTTTACTTGGTCTTCAACCTGGAGCTTCCTGTTTGAAGCGTCTCCAGCCTGGAGTTTTACTGGAAAGGTACACTGAAGGAAATCCTCTAGGTGCCTCGTCTGCCAAATTTATCCGTTAAACTGAGAGGAGTCAAGGCAACAAGCCAACCAAGAGGAGAACTTGGTCCTGTATACAGAACACCTCACAAAAACAGAACGTACAGACCCTCTAAACAATTTGGCATCTACCCTTGGCTTATGTCTTTTTTTTTTTCTTCATTGTGCAACTTTCCAATGCCCAGGAAGCAATTAAAAAAAATGGGCTGCCAAAAGAGCAAACAAGTCCATTTTGCAGGGAAATGCAACCTGGATGCTCTTTGGAGGCAAAGATGGTGGAACTCATATGCTTTGAGCATGTTGTCAGGAAAGACCAGACCTTAGAAAAAGACGTCTTGCCGAGAAAGGTGGAGAGTCAGAGAAAGGGAGGAAGACCTGCAACCAGATGATTGGCACAGCATCTGTAACAGTGACCTTGACTGTTTAGGAGATGATGAGGATAGCCAGGATAGGGTTAGGTTCAGATCATTGTTCCAGGGTCGCTACGATTCATACTTGACAATAACAACAATCCAATCCAATAGCATAATGACAGGTCATCAGACAGTCTGATGACATCAGAAACCACAGTGGCCGAATCAACCACTTCTTGAGTCAAACCCAAACTTATTCCTTATAAGTGCGATGCTAAAAAAGACACTCACTGATTCCCATTGCAGGTAATAACAACAAACTCTCTATTGGGTTGTCAGAGACTGCAAATTGATTTGGAAGAGATTGTCCATCTTTATCTCACAAAACTGCTGGTAGACTCAAACAGCTCAGCTTTGGGTTGAAAGCACAACCCCTTATGCACTAGGCCAAGCAACAATCTCAGTGCAAAGACAGTTGACTGTGTGAATTATTAAAAATAAATAAATAAATTATACCTAAAATTGAGAAGAACTGGAATCCCAGAACACTTCATTGTGCTCATACTAAACCTATACATAAGACTGAGAAGCTGTTTTCCTAACAGGACAAGAAAACATTGCATAGTTTATAATCAAGAAAAGTGTGCTTCAGGGTTGGATCGTCTCTCTATACATATTTAATCTGTATGCTAAACAAATAATTCAAGAAACTAGACTATATGAAGAAGACTATTGTATTCATTAAGAACCTGCAGAGTGGTTTTGTTCACATTAGCAAAGAGTTGGAAACAACCTAAGTGCCCATCAAAAAATGAATGGATAGAGAAGCTGTGGTATACCCACACAATGGAACACTACACTGCATTAAAAAACAAGGAACTCATGCAATATTGTTCAAAATGGGTGACCCTGGACGACATTATGCTGAGTGAAGTATCTCAGTCACAAAAGGACAAATACTGCATGATGCCACTGTTGTAAAACAGGACAGACATTGGGATGGGAGTTAGACAAGAAAGATGGGTTCAATAATGTATACTGCATTGAAACAGATGAGGGGGAAAACTGTTTAAAAGGGATATGTGATTAGGTATTTTTGTCATGATAGGAGTCCAGAGCAAAGACTGCATAGAGGAGTGGGCCTCGGGGAGGGTTTGTAAAATAATGAAAGAATTTTTCTTTTACTTTTCCAAGATGGTAGTGTACTAGGGTTGGGAGGGGAGAAAAGTGCAACAATGAATGAGTGGAAATCCAAAGTCTCTGTAAGTTTTCATTGAAATTAATAATAAATTTTAAAAAAATTTAAAAAGAACCTGCAGCATGCAGATGACACAACCTTGCATACAGAAAGTGATGAAGACTTACATAACATACTGAAGAAGATCAAAGACTACAGCCTTCAACAGGGGTTCCATCTCAACATCCGGAAAACAAAAATTCTCAACCACTGGCCCCAACAGACAACATCATGAAGGATGGAGAAACGTAGCCAACGGCTTAATTTTACTTGGATCCACAATCAACATCCATAGTAACAGCAGTCAAGAAGGCAAAAGACAGGTTGCACTGAGAAAAATCTGCTGTCAAGGCTCTCTCTCTCCAAAGGGCTAAAGACAATGACGTAATTTAAAAGACTAAGGTATGCCTGCTCTCGGCTGTGATATTTTCAATTGCTTCCTGTGTATCTGAAAGTTGTACAATGAGTAAGGAAAACAGAAAAACCAATGCCTTTGAATTACGGTGTTAGAGAAGAATACCAAATATACTAAGAACTGCCAAAAGAGCAAATAAGTCTGTCTTAAAGAAATAAATGCAACCAGAGTGCTTGTTAAAGAGGAGGATGGTGAAGCTTCATCTCACACACTTAGGGCAAGTTGGCAGGAGGGCCAGTCCTTGGAGAAAGACATCATGCTGGAAAAGGTGGAAGATCAGAGAAAAAGAAAAAGATCCTCAACAAGATGGGCTGACCCAGTGACTGTAACAATGAGCTCACGCATATTCAGAGACAGTGACAACTTCTTGTCACCAAGTCAGAACTGACTCATAGCAGACCCTCCAGTAGGTTTTCAGAGGCTATAAACTGCAGAGGAGAGTGCCATAGAGGAACCGGTGGAGAGGAATGTCTATCTGTGTTTCATTAACTATGCAAAGACGTTTGACTGTGTGGATCATAACAAACTGTGGCTGACTCTGAGAAGAATGAGAATTCCAGAACACATGATTATACTAATGTGAAACCTATACTTGGACCAAGAGGCAGTAGTCAGAACAGAGCAAGGAAACACTGCATGGTTCAAAATTGGGAAGGGCATACACCAGGGATGTGTCCTATCTCCATACCTTTTCAACCTGTATGGGGAACAGATTATCTGGGAGGCTGGACTCTATGAGGAGAAATGTGGTGTCAGGATTGGTGGACGATCTATCAACAATCTGTATTATGCAGGTGGCACAACCTTGCTTGCTGAAACTGAGGAGGACCTAAAGTGCTTGCTGCAGAGTGTCAAGGACTGCAGCCTCCAATATGGATTGAGGCTCAATGTAAAGAAGACCAATTGGCAGCATCAGAATGGATGGTGAAGAGACTGAGATTGTTCACAGCTTTAGTTTGCTTGGCTTCACAGTTAACACTCTTGGCACCAGTAGCCAAGAAATTAAAAGACGTATTGCCATGGGAAAGTCTGCTGTTAGGGACCTCTCCAAAGTACTGAAGAGCAATGGTGTCTCTCTGGAGACTAAGGTGCATCTGATACAGGCCATGGTCTTTGCTATCACTTGTTATGCATCAGAGAGTTGGACAATGACCAAGGAGGATAGAAGGAGAATTGATGCCTTTGAACTGTGGTGCTGGAGAAGAGTATTGAGGGTACCATGGACTGCTAGGAAAACAGATTCATCCTGGAAAGGGTTTAACTGGTGGCTCCTTGGAGGCAAGGATTCTGAGGCTCCATCTAACATACTTTGGACATGTTGTAAGGAGGGACAGTTCCTTGGAGAGGGACATCATGCTTGGGATGGTGGAGGGCAGGCGCAGGAGGGGAAGGCCGTCTATGAGGTGGATTGATTCAGTGACTGGGGTAATCAGGATGGGAGTGTCAGAGACAGTGCGATTGGCATAGGATAGAACAGAGTTTAGGGCTGTTATACATAGGGTCGCTATGAGTCGCAAGCGACTCGGTGGCACATAACAACAACAACAACAACAGGTTTGTCCT